TATATATATATATATATATATATATAGCTCAGGAGAGGCCAAGGTCATAGGGGGTTACGCCAAACGTTTCGATCTTACTCTTCAACTTATCTGTCTTGTCCGTTTGCTCTCGGATAGGGGCACCTGGGAGTGGAGAGAGATACAATAAGATATGGTACACATTCAATACATCAATGCAACAGAAGAATTCAAAATCTCCGGGAGTTCACAAATTGCTAATCATGCATTTATCAGTATGCAGCACGGAATTATCCGTGATCAGTTTACAAACAAATTCGGCTAATTCGGTGCAGCGGGAAAATTTGGATTCAGCTTCAAAGAGCGAGATATTTTCCTTGGCGATCAGTGGAGAATATCGACACCTTAATGGACCCGAACTCCTTATGGGCTGCGCAGACATATTATCTCGGGATGAACGTAATTGGACGGACCCTGACACAAAGTTTACTTTGACCTGACTTGACTTAACATGTTTTATTCATTTAAAACACAAATGTTCACATATGAGAAACGATCTGACCTGCTGCGAGTGAGACAAAAATTCTTTTACACAGTGAGAGAACGAGGAAATTTGTTTGCGTGGTCATCGATAAATGAGAGAGGAAAACCAACTGAAAATAATTACTACCACCTAGAACTATTGAGCGAACTATTATTAACGATCTTTCCTCTTCTATCTTAAACAATCTATTTTATCCATGATTTTAGCCAGAAATTTAAGACCATTCATGGTTGCTTTTGGACTTTACAAATACTTTTAACTCGGACGACATCGTTACAGTCACCAAATCTCTCGCTAGATTGCATGCATGACTATATTGCTGGCTGACGCCGGTTCACATGTCCGGATGATATTTTGATCTCCCACTATCAATACAAAAGTGTGCTGATGATCCAGTAGTGGAGGATGCATCCAACACCAACAATCCTTCGGTGTATCACCTTCAATCAGCCATAGGCTTCATTTCTAACCGGTTCGACGATGTACATCTTCCTTAAACCCAACAAAATGTATTGAACTGTTGTTTTTATTAATCGTAGACCGTCTGCACATTCCAGATAATCTGTTCTCATCATTTCAGTTAACAACTCAAACGTCCAAAGGTCACAGCACTTCAAATTCAATTCAGAGTCTATGTTCAGAACAGTACATCTTTGAAAACCTTTCAATTTTTGAGCCCGTAAGTTCTTATGAAATTAAATAGATGCTTCGATAGAGCTACCTGAAAAGAAATTGTCAGATTTTCCAAACTATTTTGAGTTCTCGAGTGCAAGAGCACTATTGAGAGACATTTATTCTATAAAAAGGGTAACTAGAAATTTGTAGCGTTGTTGCACTGACTGTTCCAGGGACTCCATTCGCTCTTCTGTTTGATTGATTACCGTTTCAGGATTCCCCCAAAACAGACTAGGATAATTATCGCTCAACTCCTGCTTGACATTGCCCTCAATCCAGTTCCACGTATGTTCAGTAGGATTTAGCATTTGCGATCTTGGCGGCATCCTCAGCAGCTTTGCCTCGCACTATTCACTCACAGTGGTCTCATAATTCACACCATTATGTCTCGCAATCACAAGGCAATCCTGTTTTTCTTCGAAGGCAAGAACGATTTGCTTGCACACTCGGTAGTCAGTCCAGTTGTATCGGCCTCGGAGTAGGACGAAAAGAAATACAAGTGTAAGTGGACAAACAACATTTGTTTAAATTTACTATTTTTTTGCGTTCCTATTTACTGTTCAGGCGGAAGCGATCGTGGAGAAAAGCACAACGATGATCGTTAAATCAGCAAATATCACTCCACAGTAAGGACTGTATAATTGAGTGATTCTGCACTCCTTCACCCCTCTAAATGTACAAATTTACTTTGTTCCCCGGTCCACCTGTTACTTTTAGCCGTGGTCGTATTGACTGTGATGGGTTTTGGCGATCGAGTTTTCACGTATGTCCGAGTGACTACGACCAGTTTTGTCTTATCTGTAGCGCGCACGAAGCAGTATGCATCACTGTTCGTGCTTACCGAGTCAGGTTCAGCTTAGCTGTCTCGTGCGAATTGCACAGTATCACCGATCCACCGAATTCGTTCGTCCGTGAGCGAGCTAGACAAGATACACGTCTGAGGTCTGCCTCATTTCAAAACAGAAAAAAACGTTGGTCAATCCAGGGGTAGCAAAACATGTATGATCAATTGACCAATGAGGTGCGCTGAACGCAAGCGGATCCAACCACGGTGTTTATTTTTCAGCTCAAATTGACCGTTTCTCAATTGAAAGTGATAGTTTCTCAAAACAATCTTGAAGTGGTGCATATTGAACAGGTTATCTGCAAAACAAATACATTTAACCAATTATTCAATTCAATTTAAATTATTAAATCCACGGAGAACACGGCATATTTAACTATGAATGATGACCTTTCTTAAATAGGTTGGTGTGCCAAACTACACAGTGTCTTGAGTGAACTATAGAAGTTTTTTTCATTTTTTTTTACTTTCTGTTATTCAATATCCAAAAGTAGTGATCAATCAGCAGATCGCCCATATAACATTGAATGAGGAAATTTAGGCGATTGTGGCATTGAGATTTAAACACACATCCTCCCGGTCACGGCAATGGTGACGTTACCACTGGGTTACCACCATGATAACAACACGTCGAAAAAAGTTGTACTCTTGGGGCGAGTGAGTTATAAATTGGAATAAGTCATAAAATAACGAACGGTTTTCTTCAATCCCAAACAACACGGTGAGCTCACACTGGGTGTTTGGTACCATGACCGTGTGCTGGGTTTGGTCAAAAAGAAAGAACCATGCACGATTGAAAGGTGGGTTACAAAATTGATTGACTGGCACACTCATGAATTCTAGGTTCGGTGACCAGTTCTCTTGATCTCCCCATATCAGATGCTTCATAAAACTGTAAAACACACTGCTGAGTAGAAATTTTTAGCTACAGTTCATTTGCACTTGTATCCGAGGAAATTGTGTTTGAAATGGCCAACCGTGATCACAACAACAACAACAACAACAACAACAACAACAACAACAACAACAACAACAACAACAACAACAACAACAACAACAACAACAACAACAACAACAACAACAACAACAACAACAACAACAACAACAAGAACAACAACAACACAGGCTCATTAGCGCGCCCAAACGCCCCTCCCCCGGAACGGTCGGTGCATTTGGCGAGGGAGGCTTTGTTTTGACCACACACTATTCGCGAAAGACAAATCACTGTTTCCGATCGTGGCAAGATGAGCAAAACGGACGGTGACAAGGCGCATTCGCTTTGGTCTGCGTAGAATCTAAGCGTCTCAATCCACTAAAGTGAAAAATGGCCGCATCTTGATTGTGAAAAAATTCAAACATCGTTTTGTTCAAACCGGATTAGATGTGATTGGAATAAGTTGATTCAAGAGGAAGCCAGTGACGACGGAGGGGTTGAAGAATAATGTGAAAATGCTTGTATCTTCAAATACCCAGCTCTTCATTTGCACATAATCTCGTCAGCTCTCTTGTTGACTAAGGATTTAGATTAAGCTTTTCCCCAGTCTGGTGGTTTGTGCTCTATCAGTAAAGATAGTTGGATAACCCAGGTAAAAAACG